GTTTGTCAATTTGTTTTCAATTTTGTTATTGTAATCAATGCAGCAATAAATTTCTTTGTGCATACTTCTTCGTCCCCAGCTTTTAAATGAGCAACGAAGAGAGGAAAGGAGATAAAGGTGGTGAAGTGAGCCCAGTGTAGCACAGCCATCTAAGGTACAACTTCCCACCCAGCATGGCCAGTGTGACCATGTGTGCTCAGGCAAGTCGAGCAATGACTTTTTTTGCCTCAGTTTTCTCTGCTGTAAAATGGGCTTTTTCTTTCCCCATATTCTTAGGGAAAAAGGAGTTCATAAAGCGATCTGCAACTCAGTACTTCCTTCTGTGGAGCCACTGTGTCATGAGATATTCATCCCCGCTCAGGGACAATGACCAGGTGTGCCAACTGCAGTCCCTGGAGTCACCCTACCCTGAATCCTCCCAGGTACAGAATCACTGGTGCCACAATAATGAGGAAATACTGGATTTGGCCCACCCTTGGCTGTTTGGATTTCAGTGCCAGGGTAGGAGGTCTGAAAAACATGAAAAGAAACAGCTGAATTCCAAGACACTCCTTCAGATAAAGTTTCCTTTAAAACATTTTTACCATTCTTCATCAATATTTATAAAGTGATGACTAGATACAGCTACATTCCTCTTGGGCCATGTCTAGAACACACCCATAATAACTGATACAATTGTTGTTTGTTGGGGGCAAGGGGACACTTTTAGAGGCAAGCTTCTTTGAAAATGAGGAACCAAGTCAGCCCCACATAGCAAAAAAATAAAATCGGTTACATGAGCAAAAAAAGATGAATGCAATTTTTAAGGGCAACATCGTGTGGTAGAAAAATCATGGGATTCGGGATCCTGGTTTGATTCCCAGTTTGGCCTCGTGCTAGCAAACTAGGAGCAAGTTAATTAACCACTCCGAGCTCCAGTTCCTTCCTCAGGAGGCACTATGCAAGTTATTATAAACTCAGAGAAAAATACTTTTCTAGAAGGAGTTGATTATCTAGCCCTCTGAGAAGGCAGGATGTTAGTAAATACTTGCCAATACTTGAAGATTGAGGCCCCTAAGGGTTTTATCCTGTATTCTTAGTCTAATCTTTAAGAGACACAAGAAAGCTTCCAAATAAGTCCCTCAGTAGGTACCACGTGGTACCTGGAATTTCCAAACCACTCATCTTTTGGGTTAGGATTCTCATCCCTTGCTTATATAAGAATTACCTGGGAAGAATGTTTTAAATGCCAATGTCCAGGCCCCACCCTCAACCAAGGAAGGCCATGCTCTGGTATTGTTTACAGAGCTCCCAGATGATTCTATTGTATAGTCTGAGCTCAGAGCCACTGAATTACAATCTTAAGCACCTATTGAAAATCCAGACAGGGAAAACTGTAAGTTATTTTCCTTCCAGCAACTCCAGTTTCAAGAAATTTGTCACATTAGCCAATCAGTCCCTCCACAGTGCTTTGCCAGAAGGGACATAAACAAGTGCTTCCAGATGTCCAGATGATGTACAACCCAGAAGAGCCTAGAAGCCCTGCACCGCTACAAAGAGACAACATGAGAATAAACTTGTTCGACCTCAACATCATCAATTACCTTTTACTGAGTCACTACTAGGTGTCAAGTACCGTATGCCAAGCATTTCACATTTTATTTTTACAATACTGGTATGGAGGCTGCAGACAGAGGTAGGGGAAGTGTGGCTATGGAGTAGTAAGACAGCGCAGCTTTTCTGGAAAACAATTCGGCAGTATACACCAAGAGCCATCAAAATGTTCACATTCTTTGGCCAAAGAATTCCACGTCAAGGTGACTATCCCACGGGAAGGGTCACAAGTTCAGACGGTGCTTTTGTTCACAAAGATGTTCATTGCAGCAGGGTTTATCTTAGTAAGAAACCGGGAATAACTTGAATCCCAACAAATGGATGGTGATTGCACAAATGTTGCTACATTGTACACTGGAGTATAATACAACCACTGAAGATATTTTCCTCTGTGAATACTTTTATTACAAGGAAAATGTTTTATTATAACAAAGTAAGATTTAAAATAGTATCTATGCTGTGATTCAAAGTTCCAAGAATGGCAAACAGTTGGAGAATTTGTTATACTACAAGGTTGGTTGCAATTGGCAAGACCCCATTTGTATCCTTATCTCCTTCAGAGAGCAAGCTTCGAATGGTTAAAAAAGTATACTGCCAAAGTTAGAATCTTTTAAGAGCAAACACTTTGACTGAGCATGTCATGGTGCTGCAGAGTCATCCCTGTTTTGGTTCATGCACTAAGGCTTGAGTTTGCGCCCCCCTCTCCAAACAAAGCCAGGCTGAGAGGCTAATGTAAATAGTCAGAGGAAACAGAAAACAAATGACAACTGATTTAGAATACAACCAAAATATTTGTTTCACAAGTTTTCCTTACTACTAGCATCGGTTTCTCTGTGGGTGTGAAAAGAAGAGGAACTGAGAAAGAAGGGAAAATTTGCAGAGGAGAAAACAAAGGAAATGGAGCATGTGGGGGGAAAGCAAACAACTGCACCTCAGTTTGCTGAAGGAATTTCGGATCTCCCAGTGCATTCGCAGAATTTGCTTATTCCTCACACAGCCAGGTGTGCTTTCAGGACATTGCCACTTTCTGACATTGTGCATCTCTTCTGAGGATGGCCTGAGCAAAACTGACCCCACGACATTTTTCAGGATGATGTTGTCCTGTTGCAAACTTCCTTTTCCCTCCTGAGTCCCAAAACCCAGGCACCCGAAGCCTTTTTGCTTCTCCAATAGGACAAAACTCCAGTCCCAGATATGACAGTCCCAGCCTTTTCCAATCTGAGACAGTTTTTGATTAAAGAAAAAAAAGACGGGGGAGTGGAAAGGAAGACACGTCCTCTGTTAGAGTAGTTGTGCTTTTATCATCCATTGGTTGAGAACATGTAGAATGACCAAAGCTACCATAAATTCAAAACTAATTTTTTAATGAAGTTGCATTTTTAAGAGCCATAACAGCGTCCACATACTTTTTTTTTCTGGATTTCCTTCCCGTTTAGGTTACCACAGAGCATTGAGTAGGGTTCCCTGTGCTATACAGTAGGTTCTCATTCGTTATCTATTTTATACATAGTATCAATAGTGTATATATGTCAATCCCTGTCTCCCAGTTCATCCCACCCCCCCATCCCCATTGGTATCCATATGTTTGTTCTCTACATCTGTGTCTCTATTTCTGCTTTGTAAATAAGATCGTCTACACCTATTTTATCAGATTCCACATATATGTGTTAATATACGATATTTGTTTTTCCCTTTCTGACTTACTTCACTCTGTATAACAGTCTCTAGATCCATCCACGTCTCTACAAATGACCCAGTTTCGTTCCTTTCTATGGCTGAGTAATATTCCATTGTATATATGTACCACATCTTCTTTATCCATTCCTCTGTTGATGGGCATTTAGGTTGTTTCCATGTCCTGGCTATTGTAAATAACGCTGTGATGAACATTGGGGTGCATGTGTCTCTTTGAATTATGGTTTTCTCTGGGTATATGCCCAGTAGTGGGATTGCTGGGTTATGTGATAGTTCTATTTTTGTTTTTTTAAGGAACCTCCGTACTGTTCTCCATAGTGGCTGCATCAATTTACATTCCCACCGACAGTGCAAGAGGGCTCCCTTTTCTCCACAC